TACATGAATGAATTAATAAAATGTGGTATATGTACACCATGGAGTTCTACTCAGCCACAAAAAACAATGGTGATCTAGCACCTCTTGTATTGTCCTGGATGGAGCTGGAGCCCATTCTACTAAGTATCACAAGAATGGAAAAACAAGCACCACATGTACTCACCATCAAATTGGTATTAACTGATCAACACTTATGTGCACATATACTAATAACATTCATCGGGTGTCGGGCAGGTGGGAAGGGGAAGGAGAGAGGAGGGGATGGGTATATTCACACCTAATGGGTGCGGTGCGCACCGTCTGGGGGATGGACACGCTCGGAAGCTCTGGCTTGGGTGGGGCAAAGGCAATATTTGTAACCTAAACATTTGTACCCCCATAATAAGCTGAAATTAAAAAAAAAGTTAAGAGAAAAAGGAAAATATTGAAATGGAGAAAAACAGAAAGAAAAAGCAGATGGTAAAGAGAAATAAGGAAAAGAGAGAAAAAATACAAGTGAAGACCAGAAAGACACAGAAAGAGGGAGAATGCTATTTGCCAGCTACTCAACAGTGGCCAGGAACCCAGATCGAGGGGTTTTCTAACAACCCCAGTGTTTCAAAAGACATGAGAAAGACCAAGACACACGGAACTACCCTCGACGCACGACCCTCTGGCAGCTCAGCACACAGAAGGCTGCAGCACCACACGTCAGGTCGAACTGTCTCGAGCTCTCAGGGGTTTCGCAGACGCAAACCCTTGAGGCTACCGTGACACTAGGTTCTGGTGCCAACTTAGGAGTCAGGAAAACAGCAGTACAGGTACATGTATGGCGAGGAATTTCTGTGTGCCGTGACCATATTTTTGCAATTCAGACTTCTCTGCAGTAGCTCAGTGCCCCTGGGACGCCCTTGAGCTACTCCGCAAAGACAGAAGGGCGTTCACACGTTCTCTGGCCCGGAAGGCAGGGTGGCAAGAAGTGCGAGTCAACCCCCCCTACCCCCCACTTTCCCACGCAGCCCAAGGGCCCATGAAGACGCCACTTCTGCAGGACAGACACACGGCCCCCCTGTACCCATCAGGACTCACCATGGCGTAGTAGTTGCTGTTCACCATCAGCGGCCCTCGTCCTCGGAGGTAGACGTACTCCTCCCACCAGTCACTCACCTAGTGGGTGCAAACACGAGACAACCCGACAAGCTCAGCAGGAGCAGAGCTCCAAGCACGGCAGCAGCCCAGAGCCTCGGGGAGCACATTTAGGGCTCCCCGGCAGACACCTCAGCGTCTGGTACATCCTTTCCAGGAAATGGAACGCATCTAACCAGACAGAATGCAACACGTGGGAAACGGGTCAAGACCGTCAGAAGGTAGACACCTTCATTTCATAAATGGTGAAAAGAAAAACAAAGACCAAGTGAAAAGTTAGGGATAAATGTTTGACTGCTGACACTTTAGTAACTGATACTACTCAAACTGCTCCACGCACTGCTTCTCCTCTGCCTGCTTCCCGGGTCTCCCCGAAGAAGCCCCCGTCTCAGTCCGGTTCTGCGGTTACTGCCATGAAACTGCCGCAAGGTCAGCGTGTGCTGTCTCGATTCCCCGGGCACCAGGTCCCGACAGCACCCGGACGGCAGCGGGCTCCTCTCAGCCCCGCACGGACTGCTGTCCATGAACAACCCTCTGGGCCCAGGGGCCACTGTCTTTAAAACTTTGTGTTGAAGCACATATACATACAGAACTGTGTACATGCCAAGTCTCGGTGTATGGCAAGTTCATGTTCACAAATCCAGCACACCTGTGCAACCTGCCCGAGGCCCCCCGGAGAGCTCCCTCCAGGCAGTGCCCACCCCGCCACGCTGCCACTTCTAGCACCTTCTGTCGGTTCTGTCTGGGTCACTTTTCATTTTCAATTTCTTCCATATTTGTTGTTTCTCAAAACCTAGGCTTCCTTCCTTGCTTCACCCGCCAGGTGGCTCCCTGTACCCTCACAGCATGGGAAGCTCAGCTGGTTCCCGCCACGCACTGCACCAGCTGAGACTCTTTGCTGGTGGTGATGCTAAAGAGTGCCCACTGAGCCGAACCTGACCCCAGGGAGGCAATCAGCACTGCCCTGGCCAGCGGGCTCAGAAAGGACGGCCTTGGGATCCAAAGGACCAAAAAAGGAGGACAGGAGCAGGTCACTGGGCCAGCACGTCACTGCCGCAGGAGAATCAGCACAAAAGAGGGTTCCCCGGGAAGACTAAGAGGACTCCCACGTGCAAAACATGGTATCATGGGCCGGGCG